TCCTTTTCCTTGTGGGGTCCTCACTTCCCCTTCCCCGAAATAGGAAGAAGAGTCCCTATCTCCTCCCGCCCTTAGAAATGTGGGGAGAACCAGAGACTGGATCTATCCCCAGAAGGAGGCGGGGAGGTAAATAAATACACAGCTCTGGTGGGCTCTAAGTTCAATTTTCCCCTCCACAAGAACAGGCAGAGTGTTCAACCTTTCAAGGCTGACATGGCGGCAAACGAATGTGTGAGGCACCATTATTTCATAGCGTCTCAGAGCTTTCCATTCCGTGAGCACAGTGATTCATTAATATTTACAATATAGGACTGAAGAAATAGACTTATTGTTAAGTCAGCAAGCTGGGGCTACCTAAAAGGAGAGTTCATGTCCCTAGAGTGAAGGGGGCCCTCTAGCCAGAGGTGTAGCAGGACCTTTGGGAAAATGGAGCGATGGGGCCGGGGCTGGGGCTGGATTTATCCCACAGATACTCCCCTGACTCCTGGAGTGTGTAACTGCTTGGAAAATACATCTCTGGAGCTCTCTCTGCCCGTGACACCACTGCCACCACCAATTCCTCTATCTTCTGCTTGGTAGAAGGAAGGCAAGCTATTTTCTTTTTTTGAGATAGGGGCTCACTTTGTCACCCCAGCTAGAGTACAGTGGCGTCATCACAGCTCACTGCAACCTCAAGCTCCTGAGCTCAAGGGATCCTCCTGCCTCAGCCTCCCAGAGTGCTAGGATTACAGGAGTGAGCCACTGCGCCCGGCCTGCCAAGCATTTCTTAAAACAACAACAGAGCCAGCACAGATACCTATGACAGAGGGTTCTCCATTCATTCCTCCCAATCCTTTCAGTATTGCTAGCATTCATTCCACTTAACACGAGCTATAATCACTCAGTACATCCTTGTTCTTATCATGTTAAACGATTATTTATTAGGTCAATTAAGAGTAAGAAAAATAAAATATTTTATTTTACTTTCATTTACTTCATCTTTGATGCTCTTCCTTCCTTTCTTTTTTTTTTTTTTTTTTTGAGACCGAGTCTCACTGTGTTGCCCGGGCTAGAGTGCCGTGGCGTCATCATAGCTCACAGCAACCTCAAACTCCTGGGCTCAAGCGATCCTCAGAGCCTCCTGAGTAGCTGGGACTACATGCACATGCCACCATGCCCGGCTAATTTTTTTCTATACATTTTTAGCTGTCTGATTAATTTTTTCAATTTTTAGTAGAGACGGGGTCTCATTCTTGCTCAGGCTGGTCTTGAACTCTTGAGCTCAAGTGATCCTCCCACCTCAGCCTCCCCGAGTCCTAGGAGCCACCGTGCCCGGCCTTCTTTCCCATTCTTTAAATATGAAGGACAATCAAAGGTCAGAACAGTCTGTTAACAGCATATGGTTTTTAAATGTGTGTGCTTATTTATCTATTTACTAAGCATCTGCTATGTTTAAAGCTCTGTAGGGAATGCAGAGATAAATGGGGCCATTACAGGATGAACTATGTGCACAGAAAGCTAGAGCAGAAGTGGCAGAGCCATGGATGGCTATGGAGGGAGCAGCAATGCAGCCGCTGGAGCTCAAGTGAGACCCTTCGTTAACAGAGGGGAAAGCATGGTCTTTAGGAAGTTAGTATCTTCCCACCTCCCTTATTGTCTCTCTTCCTCACTTGGTAACTGAGCACCTGCTATTCCCAGGCACTGTGCTGGGGGCAGACACAGCAATTCATAGGCTGCATAGAGTCCTGCCCCACAAAGGTGACAGTCTAGTGGCAGAGAAGTACAAGTAAATAGGCAAAAATGGCCAGATAGCAATATCCTGGTGGACGTATTACAGATGCTGTCTGTGGATATGAGAGGAAGTCCAAGAAGGTTTTCTGAAGGAGGTGATGTTTAAGTAGCACCTGAAGGGTGGGCGAAAGTTAGCCAGGTGGATCATGGCGTGGGAGAGAAAGGTGCCCCTATGGACAGCATAGCTGTGCAGAGGTGGCTTTGGGAATTCTTTAGTTGACAATTGGCTGAAAGAGTTAGGCATTGTCTAAAAGACCAGGAGTCAGCAGAAAGGAAATGCTTGAGTTAAGATAAGGAAGTCTGTTAATCAGAGGCAAACCACAGGACACATACCCGGACTCAAGTGATTTGCTGTGTATATGGAGGACCTGCAGGTTTGTCTTGATAAGCCTTAGGCCTGTTAATGAGTTCCAGGGGATATGTATAAGAAGGGAGGGGGGCATGATGAGGCATGTCTGACCTCCCTCCTCATGGCTGGCAACTCAGTTTTGGGGTATCCCCTTGGCAAAGAGGGGGTCCATTCAGTCAGCCGGTGCGGGGACGGGAAGTCTTAAGATTTTACTTAAGTTCACACAAGTATGAAGCCAAGTCCGGTGAATCCCCAAGAGAATGACAGGGTTTGAAAACACCGAGAACCACTGCATTCTGCCAGATCTCTCTGTACGAAAACAAGCCGGAGGAGGTTAGATAAATAACCAAGAGGGACCCAGGGCTACGGGCCAACGTGAGTGGGTAGTAGGAATAGTAATGTTTACAGGGACTTAGGAGCTGTTAAGTGAAAATAAGGAGGATCAGAAACAGATGTGGCAAGTTTTTCCTGCATTTCAACAAGCATTTTATTAAGCGCCTATATAGGCCAGGTAGCGTGCTTGGAACGCAGGACACAGACTCGGGGCTGCTTGTCGGGAGATTAGAGGCCGGGGCACTATCACTAAGCAAATAACTACAAAATAATTTATTGCAAATATATAAGAATAAGGAGGAAAGAAGTAAGGTGCTCTGATTGTGTAGAGCAGGAAGCTAATTAAGCCTGGGAAGTCAGTTTCCTGAGGAAAGGACCTTTCGGCCACCCACCCAAGCGGGTGGGGCGTGGGGCCGGGGCCCACGGGGCTGGGGCGGAGCTAACATGTGAGAGGCAAAGACGGCTAGAGAGGCCGGAAGAGCTGGATCTCGCAGGGCATCATGGGTCACGTGAAGGATTCTGGGATCTCCTCCCTAGAGCAAAGGGAATATGGAGGGAGTTCGGAGGGGGGGGGCCCTACGCCAGTAGGGGGCAGTGGACCGGAGTGGTTAAGAGCGCCAACTCTGAAGCCAGGTTGGATTCGAATCCCACACTTACGAGCTGTGTGACCCAAATCAGGTCAGCTTACCCCTCTGTGCCCCGTTCTGTGTAAGATGGGCTGATAATAGTGTCTGTTTCAGAGGACTGGCATGAGGACTCAGTGATAGAAGTGCCTCGCACGTAGAATGCGGAAGGATGGCTGTTGTGGGTGGGCCCAACGACACTCCCCCGCCTCCGGGCATTTTGGCTTCTCTAGTGGCTGCCGCTTGGAAGAGTCTCTTGGCCTTGGGCAACCCTTCTGGAAGCAGCATCCTCTGGCTCTGGCCGCTCTGTGAGCTGCATGACAGGGCCCGTGCTCAAACTATATACCCCAGGGTCCCACATGGGACAGGCACGTGGCAGGTGCTCAATACCTATGGGTGAAATGGATTGCAAATGAGTGAATGAATAAATGAGTGAACATGGATCTGTGGGAGAATGCCTGCACTACCCATAAATTATTGAGCATTTTCTATGTGCCAGGCACCCTACTGAGTGCTTTCTAGTTCATTTCTGGTTCATTTCTAGTTCATTTCACTTCATCCTGACAATGATATTGTGAGGAGGCTACTATTAGACACTTTCCAGCAGGGAAGACTTTGGGAATAAACTCTCTGTGGGGGAGTCCTGGTCGTACTTCAGGGTGCCTAATGACTGAAAAATGTGTTTAATTGGTAGCCCCAAAGGGGGACTTTTTGCTAGAGGTTGGGATCCTGGAGGCAGGAATTGAAGCAGAAAGCAGGCTATGCTGAAAATAGTTTCCTAAAGATCTAGGTGCAGATACTTTATAGCTCTGAGCTCATCTTACTTAGCAAGGCACAGGGGTGACAGGAGTCATTTTACTTGTTTTTGAGGGGGAAAAGTTGTTCATTCTAGGGAGGCACAGTGGCTTCCTCTGCAGAGCCCAGGCAGAGCTCAGAGCACAAGCCAGGAGTCCTGAGTTGCCGGCTGGTGGAGCAGCCTCCCATCTTGCCTCTGAGAGGACCGAGAGCAGAGGCTGGGAAAAGCTGTGGGGAGGCGCCTTTGATCTTCCCTTGCCTGCTCTGGCTCTAATCTGAGTCCCACACACTGGCAGCAGGGCTGTTCCCTGAGGGAATGCAGGCTGCTCTGCGGGCTCCGCCCCTCCCTCCTGGAGCGGTGGAGCAGTGCTGGGGCAGGCTGCCCCCTTCTGAGCCCCCAGCAGCTCCGCAGGACTCCTTCTCCAGAGGCTGTTATTTTGGGAGAGTGCTGAGTTCAGCACAGCTGCAAGGTGCAGCCAGATGTACCCTCCTGTCCTCCGCTGGCCCTTCAGAGCTGGCCTCAGGCCGGGATGCCTCTGCCCCCACCCTTGCTGCAGCCCTCCTACACGGGGTGGCTGTCTCCAGCCACCTCTACCTTGGGACAGGTGTTGGAGGTACTGGGGCCAGGAGAGGCAGAGCCAGTCTGAGGAGCACAGCGCAGCCCAACCCCCAAACCCCACCCCCAGCCCAGAGCCTGAGGTCCCTAGTGTCCTAGGGCTGGCCTTAGAGTTAAGGAGCAAGCTGTCCCTGGCCAGCTGACCACACCCAGTGCAAGTGCAGGGGCAGGACAAGGAGCTGCACTGAAAGGCTTACATAAACACGTCTACTTTGCAGCCTGCTCTCTGCCCTGGCAGCCAGGACAAGAGTGACAACAAAGCCGAGGCCTGCCAGGGGAGAAGCGTCCGCCAGGGTTGCAAATTGAGTCCAGCTTGGAGGAGGCCCAGGTCCTCCCAAGGTACTCGTGTCCGGGTGGCAGATTAGCTGCTGGAGCCCAGACAGCTGCTCGGCCCTCTCCCTGCACTTACCAGAGGTCTCTGCCCCACCAGGTGGGCCCCTGGGGAGGGACATGGGCAGTGGGCAGGCAGCCCCCTGCAGGGGGTCCAGCTACTCTAAAGCTCCTTTTGTTCCAGGTGCCCATGGGTTGGAAAATGAGGCTGCCGACAGCAGCCCTGTTGCTGGGTCTTGTGCTGGTGGTCACTGGAGACGAGGAAGAAAACGGCCCGTGTGCCTATGAGCCCTTGCCGGAGGAAGACGCTGTCCTGTGCAAGTAAGGCAGGGGAGGCTGGGTGGGCAGATCCCAGGGAGGGGTGTTTCCAGAACCAAGGAGCACTATCTCCTAAGCCCACTTTCTTGAGAAAGGCCAAACAGGTGTTAGATCTGGAGACCACCCTGTTGGAGGATGGCGCTGAGAAAGGGACTTTGAAACAGGCTCCTCCCTGCCTTCCAGACAGCACTTCTCCGACCAAGAGGGCTGTGGATGTGGGTTGGCTCCCCTCCGGTCCTCCAAATGTGAGGGGCCTTGGTGGGGGTTGGCCTTACCCTTCCCGCTGGGACCCAGAGAGAGGCCCTCTGGGGCCCGTGTGAGAGATTTTTTTTCCATAATGGGCCCCAGGAGTGTTGGGACAGGGGGCCCCGTAGGGAGTGTGGCACTGGACGGAGCCCAGTGACGAGGCTGGCCAAGGCCAGCTTCTTCCCTTCCAAGGGCACAAGCCGCTCCCACTCTGGGTCGAATGAAAAGTTCAGCTCTCTCCTCACTGTCTGCTCGCTAGAAAAGCAAGTCTTCATTTTGCTGGACCCCTGGGTCATTCGGAGGGCTCCCCAGGCCTCTTTGCTGCCAGTCTTCTGGCCTGGGAGAAGGGACACCCGACTGAGCCCGTCTCTGAGAAATGGAAGAGGGAGAGAGAGAGAACTCTCACTTCTTACTCCTTCTTCTATACATTTGGATTTTGGCAAACATTGCAATAAATAAGTGCCTTCTCTTTAAAAGTTATGTAGTTGAATCCTTAAAAAAAAGTAACAAATTTTGTTCATATCAGTACATTTCAAAGAATCTTGTTAAACAGTTTGGGTGAAGTTTTTGTGTGGGAGAGAGAAGAGAAACATGGCTGTTTCTCACATGCAGGCTCTAATTTTCTAGGTGCTCTGTTGAGCGGACCCAGGGGCAGGCAGGCTTCTCACACCTAGAAGGGCAAGGTTGAACCCCTGTGAGCTGGAGGGGTCAGCTGGGCCAGCGCCAGGCAGGACTGGGCCGCAGTGATGGCCCCATTAGGGATTGTCTCAGTGCTTCCCCACGTCTCCCACACTGTGGAACACCTAGGAAATGAGGATGTCTGTGCAGGCACTGGAGTGGCCAGCCTGGGACCCTAGGCTCTGCCCTGCGGAGGTCCACATCTTGGTACCCTGGTGACTCGTGCACACATGGGAAGCTCCAGGACACCTGCCATGTGCCAGGCGCTCTGCTGGTGCCTGGTCTGCTTGACTCACTTCTCTGTCACAAGGAACCTACGGAGTAGGTACTATCATCCCCATTTTGCAGATGAAGTGTCCCCAAAGATTAAGGAACCTGCCCACGGTGCCTACATGGCTCAGAAGTGGTAGAGCCAGGGTCTGCCCCCTTGTCTGACTCCACACTTTCTCTCTCCCCCAACCCCCACTTCCTCTGACAACCCTCATCCTGGGCCCAGCACCTCTTAGACTCAAGCCAGGGGGGCCATTCTCAGGACTCCTGGAATATGCCAGCAGAGACATGGATTTATGACCCTAAACCTGAATGCTAAGATGTCTTTGGATTGTAAGCCATCATTGCAAAAGGGAAGCTTTGTCATTACTACTGCTGAAGATTTTTATTTGTAAGAGATCATCACCAAAATGAAACCACATCGTGGACATACCAAACCCCAGAAGAGAGAATGGTACCTCCTGCCCTGGGCCCCCGCCCCGATCCCTGCTCAGCTCCGACTTCTGACCTTGCCAGGAGGCCTCCTGGAGAAGCCACTCCTCTCCTGGGTGTTTGGAGTCTAATGGGGAGTTGTTGAAGATAGGACGCAGCACCTAAAGGTAGCAATTTATAAAGGAGGACTTGTATGTACCGTGACAAGCAGTGTGACAACATTGTTAAGGGAGGAGCTCCTCGGGAATCAGACCTTGCCTACCTCTGAGATACCCCGGGCTAGACACAAAACCACCAGGGGTCAGGACCCCGGGCTCAGTCTCAGCACCATGGTCACCCAACCCTGCGCCCAGTGGATGAATCCACCTAACAGCCCATACAGGCAGCCCTAGGGACTCCCCCAATGATGGGAGCTGCCACCCAAAGCCCCCTCCTTTTGTGTCGAAAAGCTCTACCCTTCGGAAAGTCCATCCTTATCTTAGGGCACTGGCTGCTCTTCTGTAACTTCAGTCCCTTCTCTCTAGTGTGGGCCCCGGAGCTGCACAGAACTAGTCTAGTTTCTTCTCTTCTTGATGGTCCTTTGCGTGTTTGGAGACAGACGCCAGGCCGTGCACCTTCACCCCCAGCTCCTCCCAACCTGGGCCGCCACTCCCGGCCCTTCAGCTCCTCCTCGGGGGCCTCGGTTACTGCTCTTTTAAAGTGTGGTGCCCCACATTTTCACAGTGAGCACCGTGCAACAAAGGCGGGGTGCCACCAGATCCCCCTCTGTGAAGGCAGCCTCACATCCCATGAGAGCTGTCACCCTTTTTGTCTTAGTCCATTCGGCTGCTATAACAAGAATACCTTAGACTGGGTCAATTTTATATAAAGTATTTTTATTTATTCATTCATTCATTCAGACAGACAGAGAGTCTCACTCTGTTGCCCTGAGTAGAGTGCAGTGGCCTCAGCCTAGCTCACAGCAACCTCAAACTCCTGGGCTCAAGCAATCCTCCTACCTCAGCCTCCCACATAGCTGAGACTATAGGCACACACCGCCACACCTGGCTAATTTTTTTATTTTTAGTAGAGATGGGGTCTCGCTCTTGCTTAGGCTGGTCTCGAACTCCTAGGTTCAAGCAATCCACCTGCCTCAGCCTCCCAGAGTGCTAGGATTACAGGTGTGAGCCACCGCGCCCGGCCCTTAGACTGGGTCAATTTTAAACAACAGAAATGTATCGAACGCAGTTCTGGAGGCTGGGAAGTCCAAGGTCAAGGCGCCGGCAGATTCAGGGTCTGGTGAGGGCTTGTTCTCTGCTTCAGAGACGGTGCCTTCTTGCTGCGTCCTCACATGGCAGAAGGAAAGGGCAGGTCCCTTCAGCCTGTTTTATAAGGGCATTAATCCCTCTTTTATATGGATGTGTTTTATAAGGGTGACTTAATCACCTCCTAAAGGTCCCACCTCTTAATGTGATCACTTTGGGGATTAAGTTCCAACGTATGCATCTGGGGGGGACACCGACACTCAGACCATAGCACTCACTTTGGGGCAGCTGAGATTCTGAGCCCTTCCCCCAGTACGGCTGGGGAGCTGTGTTTCTCTGATTCAATTCTTACCATGACAAAGAGACTCAAGAGACCATCTGGCTCAAACTGAAGCCTGGAGAAACCAAGTGACTCATGAGGGAGGCCGTGTGGTACGGGGGGACGTACGGACAAACCCATCGTATTAGCTGTCTGTTGCTGCACAGCAAATTACCCCAAAACTTAGCGGCTGCAAACATTTATTGTCCTACGGTTTCCCAGCTTAGTCATCCGGCAGATGAGAATAGTGATAATAGCTGGTCTGAGGCATCGCTGCATTAAATGAATAATACGTGGTACAACTGACCTATTGGGGTGGCCCAGTAAACGCCATTCCCTTTGCCCCCAGTCCCTATGCAGTGCTCGTTAGTGGCCAGGCTGGGACCAGGGCCACTGCTTTGTTCACTCCAATATCTGGGGCGCCTCCAAGTCTTGTCAAAGAGATCAGGAGGTCCCCCAAATCTCAGGGTGGAAATGAGAATGTGTCCCCTGTCGGATGAACCACAGCAGCAAGGGCACGCAAGCAGGTGGCACCTTCAAGGTTTTTGGACGTGGATACAGATTTTAAAGTGTATTCTCACTAATTATAATTTTTAATTCGGTGCATCTCTGGCTTGTCCAGATCTTCTTTTAAGTTTATTTGACCATTTGATCATCTGAATCGATCATCAACTCTGCGCCGTCTGCAAATCAAATATATGTGCCTTCTGTGTCCTTTCTCCAAGCCTCTGATAAAACTACTGAGCAGGACAAAGGCCTGCGCACGCCCCTCAGCGTGTCCTCCTATGTGGAGAAATATACCATCTTGAAATGCCGGGCTGGCGGCGCCCATGGATGTGATGAGAAGGACAGGGACACGATCTAATCCCTGGTTCCCCGGCATGTTCCCTGTCCTGTCAGGGCGCTCCCTGTGGCTCTAGGCCCACTCACCAGATAGCAACTTGCTGATTTCACTTGTTTAACTCCTTAAACATTGGCAGCAATTGTACCAGGATGGAGAGGGGACACCTGTTCTGGGGGTGGAGGGACCCCCTGCCCTCAGTTCACCTCCTTCCCATCCCCCATTGTTTCCCAAGCCTATGCTGTGTGCTGACTGTCCGTCTCTCTGTCGCTGGAGGGTCCCCTCTCTCTGCCTCACATCTCGATAGCTGCAGTGCCAAGGAGCTGCAACAGATACAAACCCAACGTTCCTTAAAATGCTGCTATGAAGATAAATGAAAAGCCACCCTCTAAAATGTCTTCGAAAGCTGCTAAAACCATGCCGTCCAAAAGGAATCACCGTAAACACGGGAAGAGTGAAAGAAGCAAATATGCTCAGCAAGCCAATGACTCGTGGGACCAGAGCGCCTGGGTGCGGGCATTGGGTGTGCTGGTCCATGGAAGTGCTGTGGGCTTGGTGGCCTTTGCCCAAGGCTGGAATGCAGGAGCCTCTGGAAGGGCAGAAGCCACCCTTGTCCTAACCCCAGGCCCCAACCTCAGGGAGCTCCCCTCCATCACATCCTCACGGGTCTCCTTTGGCTGTTGCCCCAGCAGGGCACTGTGGACAGCTGTGGGTGGCCACTACAGGCGGCGGAACAGCTCAGCCATGCTGGGGACCTGTAACCCCTGCCCTTCCACCCCTTCTTTCTCAATGAATTGTCTTCACCAAGTGAAACCTACAGAGACCCTGGGTTTTGGTGACAAAATATAACAGAAGGACAAGTGAAAGAAGCTTAAAAAATATCTTTTGGAAAGTCTGGCCTGCGTTTCTGAGTTTCAAATATAGGTGAGTGGCGAAGGCCAGCCCTGGTGAAGTGGAGCAGCCTCCGTCTCCTTGGTCTACACTACATTGTCTTCCCTTCCGGGAAACCAGCTTCTCAGAACACTGTTCTGCTGTTCAGGCCCTCTTCTCAGGGAGCACATAGATAAACGGGTTCCTACTACAGTCTCAGTGATGAGATATTTTACTCCCAAGGGATATTTGCATTTCGAAAGAGAATCTAGCTCAACGCTTAACCCGAAGAAGTGCATTATTCAACTAACGGTGGGATTTCAGGCATAGGAGCTCTCGATCGTTTAGGGGAGAGAGGTCTCTGCCCACGAAGGAGCCTGTGCTGACTTGCTAAACCTTTCTTTCTGTAACAGGAGCGTTCCTGAAAAGCAGCATGTAAATATTGTTCTTATAAACCCAGTCCTGTTTTAAAGATGCTGACCAAGTTTGCCTAAGGATGTATATTCTTCTTGGGAAGTAAACGCTGATGAGGTTTGACACTTCCTGACCACTCCCGGCATGCCAGGCTCTGTCCTAGACACTGGCCACTACTTTGCTCCTCACACCAATCCTGTTAGAGAGGTATCGGTGTCCCCATTTTACAGATGAGGAAACTGAGGCACAAATAAGTCAAGTAACTCCTGGGTCACACAACTGGTTAGTGGTAAGTTTAGGATTTAATCCTATTCGAGTTTGTATTCCCAACAGTGCTAGACTGAAAGTTTGTGAACCCCAGGCTGCTCTAAAACTCTGACACAGGGCAACCTCCTCTGTCTCTTACAGGGGTCTTGAAATTGTCTACCCGGAGGTGGGGAGCATTGGCTGCAAATATGTTCCTGACTGCAACAACTACAGACAGAAGATCACCTACTGGCCTGATCCCATAGTCAAGTTCCCGGGGGCCTTGGACGTGAGTAAGAAGGGCTGGCCTGAAAGGGGAGAGATGGGGGATCTTGACTCTCCTCTGAGCTTGCTCATCTGGGGACTTGAAGCTGCGTACAGAGTCATCTGAGTTGGGTGTGGTGGTACCAGATGGCTGTTGTCATAAGGATGTGCCTTCCCTAGAGTGGTCCCATGGCCTTGGGGAGGAGGCTGGGGGCCTAGGGACAGTTGCAGGCTGAGATCTTTGGTGATTGTCTGAGACCACTCTACCCAGGCCTCTTCCTGCTCCCCTGAAACCCCTGAGCCCCCACATCTGGCTCTGCAGAGGCAACACGGAGGCCCGCTGGCGTGTGCTTTGGAGTCGGCAGAGACAAGGAAGGGGTGGGGGTGAGAGAGGAGTCCTCTCTCACGGTGCACAGGCTGGGCTTTCGGAAAGATCTGAGCCAGAGAGAAGCTCGTACGCACCAGGACAGAGCTTCCCAAGTAGGCCAAACAAGTAGAGGTCGACGCATCTTGGTGCTCGGCTGTTGCAGTATGAGACGCTCTTCTTTCACCCAAAGTTGTCTAAAATAGAAGAACAAAGCATTTTAGGAATTGGAGGCAACCGTTTCTTTTATTGGGAAGTGATTAGTACGATCCTGTTCTGGAAGCCTCCCTTGGTTTGGGGATCTGGGAAGCCTGGGGAAGCGTCGCGGACGTGGGAAATGGGGCTGCCATTGCCCCCAGCAGCCAGAGCATGTCCTCCTGGTGCTGTTCTGGTCTTCTGGTCGCTACTTCTTCCTTTCTTGACCCTTGGGCCAGATTGAGCCCCCAAAGTGTCAGTGGTGGTTGTCTTCTTGCTTTCTGCTGGGTTAAGGCAGGAGGTGCTGGCGTCACCCTAGGCACAGGACTGGGATGTGACCAGGACTCAGGTCACAAATGCATGGAGATGGAAGCGTCGTGGTCAGGATGTGACTAAGCACACACACCAAAGTGGACCTTCTGGATCCTTCTGTGCAGCGTAGCAGGGAGCGGCCACCAGGCGTTCTTCCTCCCTCTCGTGCTGCCCTAGGCAGGCCTGACAGTGGTCAGCATAAACACAGCAAGGCCACAAGCTTGGAGGGCAGTGGCGCACGGATTACTTGGATGTAGGGGGCAGGACAAAGCTTTCCTTTCTTTCTTGAAGTGTTTTCTACTATCAGAGACCAAATAGACTGTGATATGTCTCACAATTTTTTTTTGTTTGTTTTTTTGAGACAGGGTCTCACTCTGTTGCTCAGGCTAGAGTGCAGTGGCATCATCATAGCTCAATGCAACCTCAGACTTGTGGGCTCAAGCAGTCTTCCTTCTGGACTACAGGTGTGCACGCCCAGCTAATTTTTCTATTTTTTGTAGAGATGGGATCTTGCTCGTGCTCAGGTTGGTCTTGAACTCCTGGCCTCAGGCGATCCTCCCACCTCAGCCTCCCAGAGTGCTAGGTTTATAGGCGTGAGCCACCGTGCCCGGCCATGTCTCACAATTCGTGAGGCTGTTATCATGAAGCTTTGATAGGTTGTCCTGTTTGCAAATGTGACAAACATCCTTTCCCTTGGGAGACCCAGCAAGTGAGCAACGAGGAAGCCTTCTGGGTGTCTTCTCCTGCCACACACACACACATGTGCACACACATGTGAGCACACATGCACACCCATGGTGTGCACACATCGGCCCTCCTGCCCGGGGACCCTTGGTCCAGGTCACACTGTGGACAGCCAAAAGGAGCAGAGAAAGGGAGGCTGCTGTGATTCTAACCCTTGGGACAGGAGGCGAAGGGCCACAGACTCAGGGCAAGAACCCAGTCTCTTAGGGAAGAGTGTATGCTACCCCGTGGGGAAGGACTCTCGGTTTCACCGTTAATCCACTTGTCCTCTGGTTTTTCCTCCGGTGGAGAGAGGGCCAGATCCTTTCACAGGCCGGTGACGGTCTCCAGGGGCTTCTGGGCAAAGGGCTCCTTTCCGCCTGCTGCTATTACTGCAGACGTCCACTAGATGGCAGTGCAGACCTTCTGAGCGCCGGTGGCCTTCGGGGAAGGCCTTTGCTCTGATTGGGTTCGGTCGATGCTGACTGTCCTGGGCTATGGGCCCACGACACAGAGACGATGTCGCCCCTGCCATGTTCTGAAATCTCCCACTGTTCACAAACCCATCCAGTCAGCCCGGGGGTGGGGTAGGGCAGAAAACGGGTCTGGAACACAGAGACTTGGGAAGGACACTGAGCTGTGATCAGGAAAGATCACAGGGAGGGAAAGATTTCACAAAGGAACTTGTGGTCGAAGCTGTGGGACAAACGAAAAAGTAATGTTATATTAATACTACTCTGTAACTATAGTTTATGAAAACGTAACAGGCCCATGAGAAGGCAAATTCAGTGAGTTATCGAAAGCTCCCATCCATTGACTGCCACTTTATTCTGGGACTATTCATGCTCGTTTCATTTAATTCTCTCATGAAGTCTGCAAGTTAAGTATTTGTTTAGTCAAGACTGTTAGTGGCTAGGGACAAAAAGCCAACTCAAACTGGCTTCACCCCAAAAAGAGGGGGAACTCATTGGTTCACAAAATCCAGGTGTGGCTGGATCCAGGTGCCCAATGTCGCTAGAAATCTGTCTCTTGACTCTGCTGTTTTTGTTTGTAAATAGACTTTTTCCTTGTGGTGACAATCGTGGCCCCAGCAGCCTCAGGTTTGTGTCTGACCAGTTTGTCAATCCCTGTGGAAATACACTGACACTTTCCAACCATTAAAAGTCAGGGGACTTGTCCTGCGTGGGTCACATGCCCACCCTTGAACCAAACGGTGGCCCTGGGCAGCCGCACTTAATCCACAAGGAGCGAGAGCAGAGGATGCTGGTTGCCCTGGAGGAGAGTCGAGGTGGCGTTTAGCAGGTGGGGAAAGATGTTGGGGAGGAAACACAAGAGCGTCCCTGGATGTAGGTAATCTGGCCAAGTGCAGAGCCGGAAAGTGGCAGAGCCAGAGTTCAAACCCAGGTCTGCCCAATGCCGGAGCCCACGGGCTTGGCCAGAGGACCCCTGGCAGGGCTCTAATGGAGACATCAGGGGAGCTGGCACAGCCAGTGGGGTCGAGTGGGGGGTGGGCAAAGGGACACTTTCCCCAGTTAGAATGGAAAGGGAAGGCAGGCAGGACAGTGCTGGCTGAGGAAAGTGGTGGTTGGAGCTTCCCTTATGGGACTGAGGGAACAAAGCCCGCAGAGTAAGTGTGACTGGCGAGCTTGGGGAGAGCTATTGTCTGGGACGAGGGGATCCTGAGTACTTAAGACAGAAAAGAGGATGAAGACGTTTCCTCTGGGCCCGGGTCCTGATGGAGAAGGGCAGGAGTTGGTGACTGGCTGTGTGGGGAGGGTGCCTTCCTTCCAAGGTGACAGACACACCACCACCAAAGCAGCGGCTGCCTGCAGACTTGCCCAGGGAGCCCCCAAAGCAAGTCCTGAGGCCCCTGGAAGGAGGGGCAGCGGGCATGGGACAGGCCACTTTCCCACCCTTGGCGTCTTTGGACCCTGCCTCCATCAAAATGCTTCCTCCTCTAGGAAGCCTTCCCTGACTGCCTCCCTCTGGGCTCCACCTGCATCCCCGGCTGATCCCTTCTTTCTCTGAGCTTTTCAAATGTTCCCCACCCTCTAAACTGGGTGTCTACTTCCATCTGTACTGTGGTTGCTCATTCATGTCTCTCATAGCTTCAACCACTCTATAAGCCAGGAGAGCAAGACTCTGTGTTGTGCTTCTGTGAACCACCCGCAGTCTCTACCAGCATTATAGAGACTGTTGGCTGACTGGGTGACCAGGTGAGCGAGTGAATTAGTGAAGGCGTGAATAAATGAATGGCAGGTGGAAGAACATCTCCTGGAGGGTGATCTGCGAGCTGTGTCAGCCCAATGGTTGGCTCTTTAAGCTGCAAGTTGTCCTGGGGCATTTGAAGAAAAGTCGCTGAGCCTAGTGGACCCCAGAGCCACAGCAAGACTCACTCCTCCCCCCAGGCTGGGTGTGAGCTGGAGGGCGGGAGGGAAGCAGGCAAGAGCAGGAGGAAGTCAGGCAGGTTCACAAGAAGGCAAAATAGTGCAGAGGAACGTGGATGGATCGTGTGCCAGCCGTCGCCGAGAGCGAGAGAGGTGTGAGTAAGAGGAGCTTTCTCCCCTGGCGCTCAGACAAACGTTAGGAGGCAAACATTTTTAAATGCATCCAGTTCTCAAGCCGATGAAAACTGAAAGGCCCCTGAGAACCTTCTTGACTGGGAGCTTATTCTTCACCTTAAATTTAACCAGCTGGAATCCTTTTGAAGTGAAGAAATTGCCTTTTAAATGGGGAATGTGCATCGCATTAGAGGACAGGAACAAAAGGTTCTGTCCCGCTGTCCCTCTGGTTTCCAGTCAGGCTTGGCTCTGGCCCTATTTCTTCTCCTGGGAAAGCAGGTGACCATGAGTGCCCCCCCTGGCAGGGCCAGCACATCCCTGTGCCAGCCCAGGCCTGCACCGCAGTCTCCTAGGGACCCCCCTCTCCCCTCATCCACCTGTGGTAGAAATGCAAGTTTCAACACAGATTTTACAGAGGCCTGGAAATCCGGAGACCTGCACAGGGGGTGGGAGTCACAGACTCTTCTCTCTGCAGGAGACCTCGGAGCTTGCCGGCCCACCCCCACCCTCCCCTGTGCGCACAGAGCAGAAAAGTGGGGGCTGCTGTGGCCACAAAATGATTAACTGAGGCAGGACACAGTGTCTGACACCCGCGACAATTCTGGTGGAGCAGCCCCTGACGGGTGGAGCAGACATGGGCATCTGGGCAGAGACGGGGCGCAGAGGCAGGCATATCTAGTGGAGGGGCGGGCGCACACAGGTAGGGGCCCGTTGGTTCAGGGGTCTGCAGCCACTGCAGGCTATTTGGTGTTAGGGATGGGAAGTGACTCACTTATTACTGAGGGTACACTGCGTGCCAGGCACCATGCCAGTGCTGTCGATTCAAAGGTGAAAGACACCATCCCGGAGCTCACAGTACAGGTGAGGAGA